GAATGACTTAAAATCCTTTCCAAGAAAAGTTCTCTCTCGTTATCATTCTCTTTCCTTCTTCGTAACATAATCGTAAAGGGATTTCAAACCTCTTCAATTGAATTAAACATAACAAAAGGCAGGAACTTTGACAATATTATTATGTTTTATATTTCAATGTTTGTAATACAAAGGTAACAAGGTCGTTGTAGTATAGTAGCAAGTATCCCCGCCTGTCAGGCGGGAAACCCAAGTTCAATCATCGGTAGCAACGTTTCTCCATTTGCCTTTTTCTTTATTTTATTTCGGTTTTTATGCCATTGCCTTTTGGACCTTCATCTTCGTGTCTGAGATAATTGATATTTAAAAAAAAAAAACTAATGCTCATCCAATTGAAAAAAGCCAAGTCTAAATATGAATGCAAACTGCTATATAAACCATAATTGTTCCTTTGCAAACCCCAGCGAATGACTTAAAATCCTTTCCAAGAAAAGTTCTCTCTCGTTATCATTCTTTTTCCTTCTTCGTAACATAATCATAAAAGGATTTCAAACCCCTTCAATTGAATTAAACATAACAAAAGGCAGGAACTTTGACAATATTATTATGTTTTATATTTCAACGTTTGTAATACAAAGGTAACAAGGTCGTTGTAGTATAGTGGCAAGTATCCCCGTCTGTCAAGCGGGAGACCCGAGTTCAATCCTCGCTAGCGACGCTTCTTTGCCTTTTTCTTTGTTTTCTTTATTTTTTTCGATTTTTATCCCATTGCCTTTTGGACCTTCATCTTCGTGTCTGAGATAATTGATATTTAAAAAAAAAAACTAATGCTCATCCAATTGAAAAGCGCCAAGTCTAAATATGAATGCAAACTGCTATATAAACCATAATTGTTCCTTTGCAAACCCTAGCGAATGACTTAAAATCCTTTTTAAGAAACGTTCTCTCTCGTTATCATTCGCTTTCCTTCTTCGTAACATAATCGTAAAGGGATTTCAAACCTCTTCAATTGAATTAAACATAACAAAAGGCAGGAACTTTGACAATATTATTATGTTTTATATTTCAATGTTTGTAATACAATGGTAACAAGGTCGTTGTAGTATAGTGGCAAGTATCCCCGCCTGTCACGCGGGAGACCCGAGTTCAATCCTCGGCAGCGACGCTTCTCCTTTTGCCTTTTTCTTTATTTTCTTTATTTTTTTCTATTTTTATCCCATTGCCTTTTGGACCTTCATCTTCGTGTATGAGATAATTGATATTTTAAAAAAAAAAAACTAATGCTCATCCAATTGAAAAGCGCCAAGTCTAAATATGAATGCAAATTGCTATATAAACCATAATTGTTCCTTTGCAAACCCTAGCGAATGACTTAAAATCTTTCCAAGAAAAGTTCTTTCTCGTTATCATTCTCTTTCCTTCTTCGTAACATAATCGTAAAGGGATTTCAAACCCCTTCAATTGAATTAAACATAACAAAAGGCAGGAACTTTGACAATATTATTATGTTTTATATTTCAACGTTTGTAATACAAAGGTAATAAGGTCGTTGTAGTATAGTGGCAAGTATCCCCGCCTGTCACGCGGGAGACCCGAGTTCAATCCTCGGCAAGAACTTTGACAATATTATTATGTTTTATATTTCAACTGTTGTAATAAAAAGGTAACAGGGTCGTTGTAGTATAGCGGCAAGTATCCCCGCCTGTCACGCGGGAGACCCGAGTTCAATCCTCGGCAGCGACGCTTCTCCTTTTGCCTTTTTCTTTGTTTTCTTTATTTTTTTCGGTTTTTATCCCATTGCCTTTTGGACCTTCATCTTCGTGTATGAGATAATTGATATTTAAAAAAAAAAAACTAATGCTCATCCAATTGAAAAGCGCCAAGTCTAAATATGAATGCAAACTGCTATATAAACCATAATTGTTCCTTTGCGAACCCTAGCGAATGACTTAAAATCCTTTCCAAGGAAAGTTCTCTCTCGTTATCATTCTCTTTCCTTCTTCGTAACATAATCGTAAAAGGATTTCAAACCCCTTCAATTGAATTAAACATAACAAAAGGCAGGAACTTTGATAATATTATTATGTTTTATATTTCAACGTTTGTAATACAAAGGTAACAAGGTCGTTGTAGTATAGTAGCAAGTATCCCCGCCTGTCTCTAGGGGACCCGAGTTCAATCCTCGGCAGCGACGCTTCTCCTTTTGCCTGTTTCTTTGTTTTCTTTATTTTTTTCAGTTTTTATCTCATTGCCTTTCGGACATTCATCTTCGTGTCTGAGATAATTGATATTTAAAAAAAAAAAAAACTAATGCTCATCCAATCGAACCTTTTTCTTTGTTTTCTTTATTTTTTTCGATTTTTATCCCATTGCCTTTTGGACCTTCATCTTCGTGTCTGAGATAATTGATATTTAAAAAAAAAAACTAATGCTCATCCAATTGAAAAGCGCCAAGTGTAAATATGAATGCAAACTGCTATATAAACCATAATTATTCCTTTGCAAACCCTAGCGAATGACTTAAAATCCTTTTTAAGAAAAGTTCTCTCTCGTTATCATTCGCTTTCCTTCTTTGTAACATAATCGTAAAGGGATTTCAAACCTCTTCAATTGAATTAAACATAACAAAAGGCAGGAACTTTGACAATATTATTATGTTTTATATTTCAACGTTTGTAATATAAAGGTAACAAGGTTGTTGTAGTATAGTAGCAAGTATCCCCGCCTGTCTCTAGGGGACCCGAGTTCAATCCTCGGGCGACGCTTCTCCTTTTGCCTTTTTCTTTATTTTCTTTATTTTTTTTCGATTTTTATCCCTTTGCCTTTTGGACCTTCATCTTCGTGTCTGAGATAATTGTTATTTTAAAAAAAAAACTAATGCTCATCAAATTGAAAAGCGCCAAGTCTAAATATGAATGCAAACTGCTATATAAACCATAATTATTCCTTTGCAAACCCTAGCGAATGACTTAAAATCCTTTCCAAGAAAAGTTCTCTCTCGTTATCATTCTCTTTTCTTCTTTGTAACATATAATCGTAAAGGGATTTCAAACCCCTTCAATTGAATTAAACATAACAAAAGGCAGGAACTTTAATAATATTATTGTGTTTTATATTTCAACGTTTGTAATATAAGGGTAACATGGTTGTTGTAGTATAGTTGCAAGTATCCTCGCCTGTCGTGCGGGAGACCCGAGTTCAGTCCTCGGTAGAGACGCATCTCCTTTTACGTTCTTCATCTTCGTGTCTGAGATAATTGATATTTTTAAAATAAAAGTGAACCCGCTGTGCACATTATCGAACACCCAAGGATAATTGAAATTAATGCTACAAAAATTACTTTTTGCAACAATAGATGTAAATCGGAAATTTAGTTTCCAAAAGTTAGTGTCGAAAAAAGTCTCCGTCATATATATATAACTCCGGATAAGAAAATTTTAAGATCTTGAATGTAAATAAATAAAATAAGGCAGTTTTCAAGATTACTGATTCATTGGCAATATTGAGTCCCTTTGCCTAGACAAACCATATAGAAATTTATTTTACACTATATGTGTACTGATAAAAGTTCTTTCTCGATGTAACCCAGCTAAAATAATATTGCGAAAACACTTATTAGATTAGATATTATGAGAATTGAATATGAGAGACTGCCTGAAAGATTATTTTTTAAATTAAAAGGCATATAATTGCATCAAACCAGACCAACATTTTTTAGGTCTGTTTAGTAATGTTTATGTTCCCAGAGACAGTTTCTGTTCAGAAATAGTTTTTTTATTTCTATTCCCTGAACGAGTTTCTGAGCAAAAAAACGCGTTTAGTAATTGCCCAAAATTTCTATTTCCGGAGTAGAAAAAGAACAAAAATGCGTTCAGTAGGACACTAAAATTGTCGATGGAGACTTAACGATTTATATTTGGATAAAATTGGACTAGAAATAGAATAATAATATATTATGATATAAAATTGGATGATCTTAATACAATTATAAAGACAATTACTCCTTATAGACAAAGTCAAAATATTATTTACTGCCGCTATTGATATAAAATAGGCTGCTTTATTTGGGTGTCTGCTCGCTATTTCAAGGGATTCATTCAAGTTTGCATAAATCGTATTAAAATTTTCTTCAGATCCAAAGAAATGTTATTTCATTGCTGTTGGAGTTCTCTCCTCATTACAAATTTTTTATAAGTGAAACTCATGTTGCCACACATCAGCACATCCACTGATTAACTACAAACTCAAAGCAATTGTTTTTCTCATCACCAACCTAAACTAAAAATTTATGAAATCATTTTGGCGAAAAGATCAATGGCTACCAAATTCATTGGCTATTTCAAAAAATGAGACGATGGTGTCCGCCACAAAGTGCGGGTTTCTCGTTGGCGCAAAAAATGATCAGCTAACCTTTAGGACAATATACATATATATACATATGTATGTATAAAATCATTTTGGGGTTAACTTATTAGATTCATGTTAATTGGTTAATAACCTGGCATTGTAACACTTCGTGAGAACGCGGTAACTTAACGAGAAAAGTGGCCTAATTTTAAAAAAAAGCACAAACTTTACTTTAAGTGACAATTCTAGCCCGAATTTTTTTTTTATCTTATAAGAAATCACCAACTTTCACTTAAATTTCAAATTTGGCCCGAGCAATTTGAAAATTTCACATCACGGGAGCCGGATTTGGAATTAGAATAAGAGCTGGTGCTTTTTATTGAGTTAAAAAAAAAGTTGAAGTCAGAATTATTACTCATGATAAAGTTAGTGCGTTTTTTTTGGAATTAACCCCTTGAGAAAATTTTGGGTCACTTTCTCATTTAAACCATCACTGTCCAGATTAGGCTTCCCCAAACAAAACGGGCTCGAGGCGCGAAACCGAAAGATGAATCAGGACCGTTCACTCGAAGGCTACGGCGGGGCTCGCGGACTACAGTGCGCCCGCGCACACCCGATCGCGGCTCCCCTTCGCGTTTCCCGCCAGAAACTCGTTCCCCTCCACCTTCATTTACCGCCAAATCTCTCTCTCTCTCTCTCCCTCTCCCAAAACCTCACTCGCGAGATTCTCTCTCTTCTGTGCCGCCGCCTCCCTGTCATTCCGGTGAAGCGAAGCCATGAAAGACCTCGACTTCAAGGCTGATAAAGGTTCGTCTCCCTCTCTCTCTCTCGCGATGTTTTGTGCGTGGAATTCATGGGCGGCGTTTCGTGAAATCGAATCGAGTTTGACGTTGTGGCGCTGGCAGCGATCGCGAAGGATTTCCTCTCGAACTTCGCCGACGCGAATGGAGAAGCCAAGTACACGAACGTCCTCGTAAGTTTTTGTCCTCCTCTTTGACTATCGTCGTCGTTCATACGCGGATGCCCCTTTTGGAGCGTTGCGAGATGTAAACCGTTCGTTTATGAAAAGATTAACCCTAGATTTACAATCGAATCAAGCGTGGTTCGTTTTATTCTTTTTTTTTTATTTGCAATTTGAATGACTCACGCGAGGGGCCGCCTTTCCCGATTTCAGCAAGAAGTAGCGAATAGGAAAACTCGTGCTGTTGAGATCGAGCTCGAGGACATAGTCGATGTAAGTTTCTGCACCCCGCTTAGTGCTGTCGTGCGTGCTGAGTTTTCCTATGCTCTGTTAAGTTGCTTCTGACGCTGCGGTAACTATGCGTGCAGTACAAGGACTTGGATGAAGAATTTCTTAGACGGGTCACTGAAAATACTCGGCGATATATTGGAATTTTCGCCGAGGCCATCGATGAGCTCATGCCAGAACCCACGGAGCCCTTTCCGGATGACGACCACGACATACTTTTGACCCAGAGGTCTGAGGATCGGAGGGATAATGTGGACGGTGTGGATCCACTTCAGAAGATGCCTTCTGAAATCAAACGATACTTGTAAGCTTTATTAAAGGCCTTGTCCTTCAATACTTTGAACGTCTAATTTGTTCACTATTGACTACTAGTCCAATTATAACAATGCATTCATAGCCGAAATTTGAGGGTTCACCAAAGAAATTTGATTTTCTTGCACCAGTATTCATCGACAAAACCGCAGAATCCAGGCTGTTGACTATCTGATTGATGTCAAGATTTTTACAATTTATGGAGCGAGAAAAGTTTTCCCCTCTTTCTCTAGTATGTTGTGCAATGCTTTGGCTTTCTGCTAGTTGGCCAGAACCTGATCATTGCGTGCCATATTGTCAGTTTTCAAGCAAAATATCATGTTTGTTTGTTTGTTTCTTCAGTAGTTGTGACTCTCTCTTGAATTTTCTCGTTCAGTGAAGTTTACATTAGAGCATCTTCGAAAGGACGACCATTCACTATTAGAGAGGTCAAAGCATCTTATATCGGTCAGCTAGTAAGGACATCTGGGATCATTACACGCTGTTCAGATGTCAAGCCATTGATGCAAGTAGCTGTTTATACATGTGAAGATTGTGGTTTTGAAATTTATCAGGTAATCGTAACTAATCCCTGCCAACTTCCTTGGTAGTATCTGGCATTATCCAATTTAAGATTCATCAAATGCCATATCTTCATTTGCAAGCAATCATGGTCAATGGAATTTGAAGAGATTAAACATGGAAGCTTTTATATAGCCATATCCAGGATGCCCATATGTTGCATTGGCATCTCAACCCATCGCTGAACAGAGTGTAGAATAATTATTCATTTGGTCTACTCTTGATACAGGAAGTCACAGCTCGAGTTTTCATGCCTTTGCTTGAGTGCCCATCAAAGAAATGTACAATAAACAAAACAAAGGGCAACCTTATCCTTCAACTAAGAGCTTCTAAGTTTTTGAAATTTCAGGAGGTTAGTTGCTCTTTAATATATTGGGCTCTACAATATTTCTTTGTGAAGGGAGCTCTGCTAGTATGATGGTCTATATCTTCATGTGATGGTCTAGATGGTATCCATTTCTTATGAGGAAATTCTCGGCTTTGTAATGCAGGCAAAAATTCAAGAGTTAGCTGAACATGTCCCAAAAGGCCATATTCCTCGGACAATGACCATTCATTTGAGGGGAGAACTCACAAGGAAGGTTGGATTAGAATAATCTTCCTATTTGGTTTAGTGAACGGAGTTTGGTCTCTCTACTTCTTGTTAGAGTAGCTTTTGAATTTTGTATGGTTGAACCAAATGTATTGTTCAAAATAATTATTTTATGATCACCAGTTATTAAAAATAACAGCTTAACCATAGCAGCTTTATTTACTCGACTTATATAGGTTTGAGATATACTGCTTTTGTAAGGATTTCCATTAGTTTATTGCCGTAACTCTTAAGCAGTGTATTTTGAATGTCATTATTTTTCCTTACTAGAAGATTTTTCCAATTTGAAAGATTCCTGTAGCTAAATTTGAGGTCTTCTATCTAATGGTTCAGATTTGTCTGATTTTTAGCATGATAATTTGATTAAAAATAAAAGTTCCATGGCAGTCACCATGATTCTTTGTTTTGGTAACACCAATTGAGCATATATGGTCATCCAAAAGATGTCCCTAGAATGAGTGAAGTTTGAGATGGCATAGATGAGTAGTGTGAAAGGTTACAGTTCCAAGAATCTCAATTTTCGATCTACTCTTGACTAGAAGGCGTAGTGCTTTTGGTTCAACAAGCTGAGGAAACTCATTGAATGAACTTTGCTGTAGATGATTTTTTGACTTCCATTTGTCTTTGTTGAACATTATCAGGTAGCACCAGGCGATGTTGTTGAATTGTCAGGAATTTTCCTTCCAATTCCATATACCGGTTTTAGAGCTATGCGTGCTGGCTTAGTTGCGGATACATACCTGGAGGCCATGTCTGTTTCCCATTTCAAGAAAAAATATGAAGAGTAAGCAACTCCAACCTTTTGCTGCTAACTGCTAGGTCCTCAGTATAAAGCAGTTGAATGAATTATCTTCAACTGATCCACTTCTGCTTTGCCCCCTCCTTATTGGTTTGGAGCGCCGGAGAGTGGATAGGAGTAGTTTCGGGATTGCATTGTGGAAAATAATTGTTGGACAATATATAGCATTCCTTTGGGAGACAGTTGTAGCATCATACTACTGAAATGATGCTACTAAGAGGCCTATTCTTGTCACTTTCCATGATCAAATTATACTCGCATTAATATTCCATTTATGAAAAAGTTGTGAATTTCTGTTCTATTCATCCTGCGTGGTAGCCAAACATTGGTGATTCGGATTATAATGTATGGAAGAGAATATTGGATGATTGTTAAGGCTGTTGATGCAATAGATATGATGTGCAAAGGAAGTTTCCTATGAAATGTGCTCATATGCTTGTTTATTCTTCAAGGTTTTCTGCTTTTTGACTTTTTCACCGTTATGCTTAATAGAGACATGTAATGGAAATTTTTTGAATGCCGGACTGGATGCAATATAATGTGCTAACTGCAAAGTAAATAACCATTCCGATGAAGTGGTGGTCTAATTGTTTTGGTAAACCATGGTTGTCAAATCAATCCTTCTCTAGACTAGCTTGAGGACAGAAAACTTATATATTTGCTTTTATAATTGAAATTCCTGCACTCGCACCTTTCAGCAATGAAAAGATCATCATCTATCTTAGGCCTGAAGAAGAATTTGTATAATTTCCACTGCAGTTACGAACTTAAAGAGGCTGAGGAAGAACAGATTGCACGTTTAGCTGAGGATGGTGATTTGTACAACAAGTTGGCACACTCATTAGCACCTGAAATTTTTGGACATGAGGACATTAAAAAGGCTCTGCTTCTCCTTCTTGTTGGAGCCCCTCACCGGAAGCTGAAGGATGGGATGAAGGTAAAAACAGTTGTGTTGTTGAATGATGGACTTTCATCTTCTTGACTGGCTGGTTTTTCCTTCCATATAGTAGGACAGTAGAGGTGATGTAGTTAATGTGTGGCAACATGAGTTTCACTAATAAAAAATTTGTAATGAGGAGAGACCTGCCAGTTTTTGGCTATGCTGTTTCTTCCTTCTTGAGGATGTTTTGCTGGACCTATATGATTTGCTTATTGCAGCTTTGACTAGTATTCACATCCTGTTCCTTTTCTCATTTCTTACATTTGTACCGAACATTCAAGGCCGGTATGTACTTTCAGAAGCGTTCTTATCCTTTCATCTGTGTATTTCTAAAACTTTAATGTGTACTTGTGCATTATAGATTCGGGGAGATCTACATATTTGTCTGATGGGTGATCCTGGGGTTGCAAAAAGTCAACTTCTGAAGCACATAATAAATGTTGCACCCAGAGGGGTATACACCACAGGCAAAGGAAGCAGTGGAGTGGGTCTCACTGCTGCAGTCCAGAGGGATCCAGTGACAAATGAGATGGTTTTGGAAGGAGGAGCACTGGTCAGTCTCTCTCTCTCATGCACGATGACACATAATTAAATAGCACCCATATTGTTCTTAGGCAAACTTGGTGAAGGGGGATGTCACTTACAATCTTACAGAAGAATCTATTAGTAGTTTTGTGCTGAAGCAGCCTAGTTGAAGGATCTCGCTCAAATATTGAGCTCAAATGCATGAATAAGCATAACAGTTGGGATAACTCAGTTACAATATACAAATACTTGTGCATCTTTTAAACATGTTCATAAACAAGATAGAAAATCGATCCAGGTACTAGCAGACATGGGTATATGTGCCATAGATGAGTTTGACAAGATGGACGACTCGGATCGTACAGCAATACATGAAGTGATGGAGCAGCAAACCGTTAGTATTGCTAAGGCTGGGATCACCACATCATTGAATGCTAGAACTGCTGTCTTAGCTGCTGCTAATCCAGCTTGGTATGGCTCCTCACTGTACTCAGCGGTGATGCTTGTGTTACTTGCCTACATATAACCCCTTCTTTCCTTGGGTTTACTAACATCGGCAATATTTAATTCTGAAATACAGGGGAAGATATGATCTCCGCAGAACTCCAGCTGAGAATATCAATCTGCCTCCAGCACTGCTGTCCAGGTTTGACCTTCTGTGGTTGATCCTTGATCGTGCAGATATGGATAATGATCTTGAAATGGCTAGGCACGTTGTTTATGTCCACCAAAATAGAGAATCTCCTGCTCTTGGGTTCACTCCCCTTGAGCCGTCCATTCTTCGGTGAGTTTCTCTAGATCTTCTCATATCGAAGATTCATTTTATACGAACTCACAAAGCATGTCTAGAGTAAATTAATGTCATGTGGGTTGGCATCTGCTTTACTTTCGAAATAAAGTTTCTCCTGCAGGGAGTGCATGTTTAAGGCGTTCTTATCAAACAGCTGCCTGATAATTACAAGGTCAAAAAGAATTCCTGGTCATTAATGTGTAATTTTTCTGGATATCACCCGTTTTACAGAGTTGATGTTCTTTTGAGTCTAATTTGTGCTAAGGCTAATTGTCCATTCATTTCGACATCAGAAGTAACAGTGATGTTAGTTCATGAAAGCATTGAATTTTGTTGAGATTTATGCTTATGAACTGTGGAGCTGCTTCCCTTACCAAAAAAAAACTGTGGAGCTGCTTCTAACTGCACTATAGAGCTTGCTTGTTAGTTATTTAAAATTATTAAGATGCCTTTGCATCTTGGTCGTATAAGTTTTAGCAGCTTGATAGTTTGGTTAATGTATGTCTTCCGGGATTACTTCTGCACTAGCATGCGGATTGATATCTCATCATATCAATTAGGTGAAAATGCTGATTTTATACTTGTGCAGAGACTCTGATCTTTTTCTTGTTCAGTTTATGCTGCTTTTTATGCATATATTCTCAGAATCTTGACTTAGAAGGTCTCGATAATGGAAGACTAATGTACATTTATATGAAATGGTGGAAACCTAGTATTCGCAATTGATCATATTTTTTCTCGTCTTGCCTGAGAACATATGCTCTGTATCAGTTATTTCTCCATTAACCCTTCGCTTTGTTTATTAATTGACTCTCTTTGTTGTTTGCAGTGCATATATATCCGCTGCAAGAAGAGTGTCTCCTTGTGTTCCAAGGGAACTCGAAGAGTATATTGCCAGTGCTTATTCCTCCATTCGACAGGAAGAAGCTAAGACAAATGCCCCTCATTCCTACACCACAGTGAGAACTTTGCTAAGCATTCTGCGCATATCAGCTGTAAGTAATCATGTCTTTGTACTATCATGGATGACTAACCTAAAGATATTGACGAATGTCTACAAGTTTAGACTGGTTACACGTCAGAAACTTGAATTCTTTTGTTCAAAATCTTCTAAGTACTTTTTTTCAGATAGGAAATATAGGTTTGTAAGTTTTACCAGAATCATGGTTTGCATTAACATATAAGTTGAGAATAGCACTCCAGCATGTTTTTCTAATCTGGTCTTAGTTTACTAAGCAGAAGGGCGTAAAATCATTGCTCAATTAATGGAGAGGTTAGTGTTGTTTCACTCAATTAAATGACTGTCATTGCCTGTAGGCATTAGCCAGGCTCCGATTCTCTGAATCTGTCACCCAGAGTGATGTGGATGAGGCACTCAGGTTAATGCAGATGTCGAAGTTCTCTTTGTACTCGGATGATCGGCAGCGAGCTGGTCTTGATGCTATATCTGACATCTATTCCATCCTACGGGATGAAGCTGCTCGGACAAACAGGATGAGTGTGATCTATTCTGATGCACTCAACTGGATTTCTAGAAAGGTTAGCTCTCTGATATTAATTGCAGTGTGCTTTCTGATGATTGAATGTCTTAATTGCCGCAGCACTGAATGTCTTCCGAGTTTCAACTGCACTCAGAATGAAATAGAGTTCTCTGCAAGATTAATTCATTTTTTTCCTCTGATAATGAGTTCTCTTTTGATAAGAAATGTATTGGTAATCTTTCCCTTTTGAAACCATATTGTCAGAAAAGAGCATTGCCAGATCGGTCTTCTTATTTCAACTGTATATTAAGTAATATGAGCTCTCTTGTGGACATGCTAGATTTTCCCCAAAGGTTGTTGACCTTCGTTTTTGCTTATTATTGTCCCCTTCCTCATGCACTGCTAGCAACTCCATGCTTTAAACTGACTAATTTGACGGCTGATGAAATTACAGTTGCTTTTTTTCTATTGTTTCTAACTGATCGAGGCATGTCCTTTCATACAGGGTTATAGCGAAGCCCAGCTGAAAGAATGCTTGGAGGAATATGCTTCCCTAAATGTTTGGCAGATACATCCCCAGACCTTTGATATCAGATTCATTGACGCTTGATGTGTGCTCGTTCCTGCTGTCAACTATTTATCTCTCAGTTGCTCTTATAATGCCACTGAAGCCTCCATGACTTTAACAGATGTCTGAAGGTCTAGTAAATGGTACTCCTGAGACAGCTTGGTTGATCTTCCTATTCTTTTACTGTAATTTTATGGAGCTCAGAATGTATTGTGAATCTGTAGATTCGAGAGAGCAACTTATCCTTCAGTATGTAGTCAGTGGAACGACCGTGACAGGATGTAATGGACATCTTGTTTAGAATGTAGATCACTAGAATGGCCTCTGATTTTACTTCATCTACTGTCACACTGAATGTCAATTGTTAAACGTGTGCAAAGAGTACTGCCCTACTCAGTGAAACTTCACCCTTATTAACACTGGCACGATGACAGTATAGGTTCTCTCCGCGAAATCTTAAGATATCTTTATCAGAATGCGAAAGTGAGAATACATTAATAGTAGTGTTAATGAGCTCCACACTATCTTATGTTGTATAATGTTGCATCCAACGGATTTGAAAGCCCCGTTTGGAGATGGTTTTGGTAGTCCCCCCGGTATTGCATTAGCAACTGATACTCCTCGACTGCTTGCCATGTTTGGGTGATTTCAGGCCTGCATATTTCTAGATATTTATCTGAGTTGATTCATTGTTTGTCGGAGGAAGATCGATGGGTCTATTTGCAGTCATTGAGATAGTATCCGTTCGGTCTAGTCTTGTTACTTGCATACTTTTTCCAATGTCTCAAAATCGAGGAAGGAAATCTATCTTGGGAAAGAAGTACGGCGGGGGCACTGAGCCACTAACGATTTCATGGCCTGATTTTGTATTCTTCACAAATTTGCCTCATCACATAATTAGAAGCAACAGCATAAACATGATTAGATGGAGTTACGACATATTTTCACATCGGTAACAAGTGAAACATCACGAATGTAATGACACGAAGTACCTCTACTGGTAATGAGCTGAGCAATGTCAATTTACAAATGGCATGATTTGCGCTGCCCGTTCTGTCGACGGCTTGCTCGGACAAGCTTGAAAATAAAGAAAACAGACATTGGCCGCTACTTAGAAAGAGAAACAAGCCAACTATAGAGATTATTCTGCCAGAACAGGAAAGCCCAAGAACTTCGTGAGATCAGAGAACGACTGGATTAATTGATGATGTGGAGAAGAGGCTTTTGTGTTGGGATTTTAGTATCCAAAATCCATAAATTGTAAATGAGAAGTGTGAATGGAAATAGTCCTACATTGGATAGAAGTTGTGATGAGAGATGATTTATTTAGATGAGCCTCTCAAATGGGTTTGGGCCCCAAGAGGTACCCCACTTTGTGGCATTCTTATTTTCCCGCGAGATTTTTTTTCGACACTCTCTACACATTTTTCATTTGTTTCCGCACGGCATTCTGCTGCATTTTCTTCATCATTGTGCGATTATTCTGCGAAATTGCGTTCGAATATTTCCTTTGAAGAAGTACCGCTTCTTTGGAAAGACGATCCGTTCTATCCTGAGAGACAATTGTTCAACAACCTTGGGTACCGGTAGAGGGGACAAATTGTCTTAAGGACACAACGTGAATTCGTTGGGCTCGGATCATTCGTCGACATTCGGATTACTCGTCAGAACCTGATTTCAGGTTTGTCGAACAACTTTATTTTGCATATACAAGCACTATTACTTGACAACATTTCGTTCGTTCTTTACACTCTTCTCAATCTCCTCTTCAACCGGCTCCCTCTTCTGCAACAATCACGCACACCGTGTCTATTTTACGATGCACAAAGTCGAAGCACGCACCTCTCCGATTCTTCTTGAACACCAACGCTCCAACAGCTCCCAAAAACCCAGTTGCAAACCCGAGCATTACGACTATGTAGAACATCACTTTCCTTCTTCGTCGGTATCTTTTTCAGGATGAGCGATTTTAGGCGCTTGAGGCGCCTCCGCACCAGGGTATTTCTTTTGTAGAGTATCTCCACAGAGCAGAGGATTATCAGCGTAAACCGAAGGCTTATCCAGGGTCTACATTATATTCTCTCTCGGAATTGGCCTCATGAAGTCGTTGTTCCGACAAATAGAGTTTGCTTATGCTCTGTGGGATTGATCCTGACAGGTGATTATTCGAAAGATCAAGTGACTCGGATTAACTTCATATCTCCAATCCTAGCTGAAATGGCTCCAGAGAGCAGGTTGTGCGATAAGTTCAAGCCTTGCAATCCAGAGAGCAAAGTAAGCTCTCCAGGAATCGACCCAATCAATCTCATACAGTAGTCTCTCTCTCTCTCTCTCTCTCTCTCTCTCTCTCTCTCTCTGTGCGGACGTCCAAGTAGTCACGCCTCAGTATCATACTGCTTGAAGTGGGAACAGAGCAAGTGTTTGCCTTTGCCGACTGCCATAAGCCAAGCAACAGATAATGTACGCACTTTAGTGGGGCTGGACCAGCAGCATCACCGTGGAAAACTTATGTATGGCCAAGTTTTGCAGTGCAAGATCCGCATGCATCAAGTCAAATCTTGAGGTCCATGTCGTTGCCTTATACAACGACGTGGGTCTATATTGATCTGGCTGCATTTCTTGTGGATTAATGCAAATTCTAACAGGATTTGAGTATGCCTTTCTGCCACTACTCAAGATGTCGCCGTGGATTTTGAGTATGAACTCGTATTTCTTTTACAAAGTACGTCGACGGGATGTTTAGATGAAGAAATGATGAAAGTTTACGAGAGAAAAATAAAATGCAGTACCAAATCAATGAATTCTCGTGAGAATCTCTTTAGGGTCGAAAGAGCACGCTCTTAAATCTTTCTGTTGATGTCAATTGTTCATCAAAGGAGGACACGACCATAGGAGAATTAAGGGTCGTACACACATTACCAATTTCGCTACAACAGTCTCCCTATTATAATATGAAATTGAAATCGCCATATAATAGAAGAGACAAGCAAACAATCCCTTGATGATTGAGCTAATGAATCCAAGTAAAATGGACATTCTCTCTCTCTGCGTAAATTGAGCAGCTTCCAAGATGATACATATTGATGTCATGGATTCTCAAAATATTCTCGTGGATGATACAGTTTATCAAGTCAATTGTACAATGTCTTTTACCTTTGATAAAAATGAAAAAAGCAATGCAGTGTCTCCTGTAGGTTCATTGTCTGTAAATGAACAGGAAAAAAAGGCTGACTTTTGACCCTAATTCAATTTTTATTCAACTGATAATGTTCACATTACTAGCCTCACCCGTTTTAGTACTTCTACGGTATGTATAGATGGATAAATTATTAGATAGGTACATTATACATTCACCAAGCGCAGTGAAGAATTTTGACCCCTTTGTAATTAATCATGAAAGAGGTTCTAAATAAAGAGATGGGGAAATGATGAAGCTCGCAAGAGGAAAAAGATGGAATGTGGTACAAAATCGTGCAACATTCCATTCCCCGTGAGTATCTCTATGTTATCGAATCGTTGATCTTGTTGCATTCATTCTTAGAAACTTGCATTGATGACATATGTGCCTATGCAGTCATTAGCCATTTTGGGTTGAAGGAGAATTGATTTAAGGGTTAATACCACGAAAAACCCTAAACTGATACACTTGTGACACATTTACCCCAAACTATTTTTTTGACCACAAAAAACCCCAAACTGGTACACCCGTGACAATTTTACCCCCTTTTTTGACCACCAAAAACCCAAATAGTCCTGTGACAATTTTACTCGAACTTACCACAGAAAATCCCAAACTAGTACACCTGTGACAATTTTACCCTGAACTTACCACAGAAAACCCCAAACTGGTACATATGTGACAATTTTATCATGAATTAAATTTTTAACGAGCCTCGCCCGGCGGCGACGGGGCCAACCTTGCTGGCATCGCCTCTAGCCGGTCGCCGGTCGCGGCCGCCGAGGTTGAAGATGAAGAAAAAAAAAGAAAAAAAAAAAATAAAAATTCAAGAATTCAAAAAATAAAAAATAATATTAAAAAATTAGTTGGGTAAAATTGTCACGTGTGTCGTTTGGGGTTTTTGTGGTAAGTTCGGTAAAATTGTCACAATATACCATTTGGGGTTTTTGTGGTATGTTCGGGTAAAATTGTCACAAGTGTATAGCTTAGGGTTTTTGGTCAAAAATAGTTTGGGGTAAATGTGTCATAAGTGTATCAGTTTAGGGTTTTTCGTGGTATTAACCCTTGATTTAATCACTTAGTCTAGCCCACGCGTGTTAAACCTTCAAAAGGAGTACTCAAACGGCGACGATACGAGGGTGCATCAATGACATTTCAAACCTTTTCCTATATCATATGACACTTTAGGGAAGAGATTATTAAGAGTTCTCGCTCGGGACAAAGTTGAAAACCTCATAATATACTGATTACAATACATTCATGAGCAAACTATTGAAAGGGGAAGAGATTATTAAAAGGGAAGAGATCACACGAGCACAAGAAGTTTTATACACCCAAAATGAGGAACCAAAGGCAAGAGAGAGGGCACGATCGAGATTGCTCATTACTCAAGTGCTTCTTGACTGTCTCAGTCTCTTCAACTTGGCTACCTTCACCAATATAGCCACATATGCCTTGTCTATTGCTTGATCCAGAAAGCTGAAATATGCACGTCTCCAATCCTTCTTGAACTGCAAAACTCCAAAAAAGCCCCAAAACCCAGTCGCCAACCCAAGCATTACAACCACGCAGAACAACGCTTTTTCAATCTTATCCTCTTCACGTGTATCGCCAGGGTGAGAGATTTTCGGTGCCTGAGGCGCTTCAGCACCAGGGCATCTTCTTTTCAGAAGATCTCCGCAGAGTAGAGGATTGTCGGCGTAGATGGAAGGATCGTCGAGGGTCTGAATTTGATTGCCTTTCGGAATCTGCCCCGTGAAGTTGTTGTGCGAAAGGTTGAGGTGGCCTAGGGATGTTAGCGCAGAAATGCCCTCTGGAATTGTTCCTGAGAGACGATTGTTGGAAAGATCAAGAGACTCGAGTGACTTCATGTCCCCGATGCCATTGGGAATGTCTCCTGAGAGAAGGTTGTGTGACAAGTTCAAACCATGCAATCCCGCAAGGAAAGTAAGTTCTTCGGGGATTGACCCGATCAAGTTGTTGCTCGAGAGATCCATATTGACCACAAGTTGCAGAAGAGTTTTGGTGTATTCATTATATCTTCCCTTCAAGATCTCAACCACATGCTCTCGATTCCAATCCAGATGAGATAGATTGTCTTGATTGAAGTTTTTCATGCCACTGATATAGCCAAGACAACGTGGGATCATCCCCGTAAGATTGTTCACTGCCATGTCCAGAATTTGCAATCCTGAGAGTGAGCAAAGCTTTGGAGGAATGCTGCCAGTAAAACTATTCTCTCGAAGCCTCAGGATCATTAAGAGCAGAAAGCTTTCGCCAAACCATGTCGGAATGCTTCCAGAGAAGTCATTCTCTCCAAGATCTAAAATTACCAGACTTGTGCAATTACCCAAAGCTATAGGAAGCTCCCCATTGAGACGGTTTCCATTCAAGTGAAGGGTTGAAAGTTGATATAAAGATCCGATTGAGCTAGGAATCACTCCTGACAACTTATTGAATGACAAAATCAAGTAAGATAATCTAAAACCCTTCCAACAGTTGGGAATACTCCCGGATAGCTTATTACCGCCAAGATTTAAGTCAAACAATTCCGACATGTCACATAAGAATGATGGTATCGTGCCATTGAAACGGTTATCGTTCAGATACAGGGTATCTAGGTACATCTCGCCGATATGGGCTGGAAGAGGTCCAGAGATCAAGTTGTGGGAGAGATCTAGGATGGAACAGTCAGAAGATATATTGGGCAAGGGTCCGGTAATCTGGTTGAACGAGAGATTGAACTCGCTGAATGTCATGTTGCCAAACCATTTAGGCAAAGCCCCAGAGATTGAAGCATTGGAGAGAGATATATCATTGACTTCCACTTGTGTCTGCATCCATTGGGGAAATGTGGTTCCGAATTTACAGGAATTCATCCGAATGAATTTAAGTTGGAAAGGGGGTATCCAGCTATGTTCTGCCTTGAAAGTCAAGTTGTCATTGTCGCTGATATCCAAATACTTCAACCTGGACAGATTAGAAAAATGGGTTTCCGAAATCGCTCCTTCCAAAGAATTGCTGAAAAGATAAAGAACCGAAAGTCGGGAAAGTTCTCCAAAACTATCAGGTATGGCGCCGCTCAATTGATTGCTGTAAAGGTGCAAGTCTTGTAAAGCCCGCAATTGGCCTAATGATGATGGAATGGTCCCATTCAATTGATTGTAGGAAAGATCTATTCTTACCAAGTTTGGCAATGCTCCGATGACTGTAGGAATTGGACCCGAGAAGAAGTTGTAGCCAAGCAACAAGTATCTCAAGAGTGTAAAGTGCACCAACCAGTTTGGCAAAGCACCTCTAAGAGAATTACTATGTAGGATTAAAATCTCTAAATTATTCTCCATGAATCCTGAAGAATTCCCCTGGGACGTCGAAATATCGTCTCCAATTAGGTTATAGCCCAATCGCAATGATTTGAGGTACTTCTTGCTCTTCAAGAATGAGAATAAGCCTCCTTCGATGCTGAGAAAATGGTTTCCCTCAAGATTGAGATAAACAAGGCTCGTGAACTTGTCAAACCATGCGGGAATCGAAGAGTTGAGAGAGTTCCATGAGAGATAGAGATGCCGGAGAGAAGTCATGTTTTGGGATATAACATTTGCGATGGGACCTTCGAGGAAATTATATGAAAGATCAAGGTACTGAAGATGAATGAGGCCTGCAAACTTGTCAAACCACGTGGGGATTGAAGACTTGAAAGAGTTTAATGAAAGATCAAGGTACTGGAGAGAAGTCATGTTACAAAATATAGAATTTGGGATGGGACCTTTGAGGAGATTTCTTGAAAGATCAAGAGATTGAAGATGAACTAGAGAAGTGGAATTGCCCAAGCGAAAAGAAGAAAGATGAAAATTGCGAAGTCCACAAGCTGATAAGCTCAAATGTGATAAAGATGGGAGCATGCTGATCACCTGCATGAGGTCTTTTGCTTTGGCAATCTTTAAGCCACTCATGTCGAGGTAATTTAGTGATCGAAGATAAGAAACCCACAGGGTATCGTCGATGACCAAATCTCCATCATCATCATGAAGATCAAAGACTTGCAACTCAGTGAGGTTTCCCAATTGTCGAGGAACCGCTCCATGAAAGTTACCCAATGATAGATCAAGGTGCCTCAATTGTCTCATCGAACCAAGGAATTCAGGTATTCTCCCATGTTCAAAATAGATCCCACTTAAGTCCAGGTAGGTCAAGTATCTCAAGTTGAGCAAAGACGAGTTCAACTCACCAGACATGGAGAACTTCTCTTCTGTGGGACTAACAATAGTACCATTTTTATCTCTTACAGTATGGCGTAGAAGTTGGAGCTCAATGACATGGCCATACATTGCATCACAAGTGACTCCTTCCCATGTGCAGCAATCTTCACCTTCCCAAGAAGAAAGCAAGCAATATGGGTCCGAGAGGCTTTGTCTAAGTTGGAGTAAAGCCTCTCTTTCTTGCTTTATGCAAATGGATGTTGAAATTTTGCAAAAGCATACGCACGAATGATCTAAAATAAGCAATAGGGTCACTAGTGCAAGCACTTGGGAATGATATCTCCCCATGAACAATAAGGGAGAGAATAAATATATGCTTTAGAGAGTGGGTTTGAGGGTTCTGTGATTAAATCCAGTTCACTTATATAGCAAGGCACGGAGAGATTTTACTTGTGAATGCCTGTATGTATATTCAGCACATGTAAGGTTCCCATGTCATAATCATAATCAAGAGGAAAAGGCACGTCCATTATTGCAGTTGAAGTTTGTAAATGGGATAATTATACAAACAGTCCCTGAACTTTGACCAAATATGCAATTTGATCCTTGAACTTTTAATTTGTTCAATATAGTCCTTAAACTTTAGGCTAGTGTTCAATGTGGTCCTTGAACTTTTATTTTGTTCAATATCATCCCTGAACTTTTGGTACATGTTCAATTCAGTCTCTGAACTATATGAAAATGTTCAATGTAGTCCCTGAACTTGAATTAATGGAAATGATTGCATTGAATATTTTCATATAATTCGGAAACTGAATTGAACGCGTATCAAAAGTTCAGGGACTACATTGCACATTAAGTTAAAATTCATTAACTACATTGAACAAATTAAAAGTTCATATATCAAATTGCATATTATGCCAAAATTTGGGGACTGTTTGTGTCATTTTGCCTTTGCAAATTGATGACTGGACCCACCCATCTAGAAGAGAAAATTGACCCTTTACAAAATAGGGCAAGTCAACTTGGAAGCAAGCAGCACCACCGAGGAGATTGTTGAGAACTCTGTCCAATCCTTGCGGCGCTGGACGCGGAGCACATCAAGTCTTTTGGGTCCATGTCATTAGTCCTCCCTCTAAATGCGTGACATTCTTTGACCAATAATAAAAATGTGTTACTGTCAAAGCACCGCCTGTTTCACGTTACATTTTACTAAGTTAACGACTTTGAAATAAAAATCTTAATTGGAATGTTGCAGTCGCTACAAAAGATAGCAGCTCAGAAGTGACCAAATGAACAATGATGACACCGCAAAAATCTAATACCTTTGTAAAAGAGATCCAAGAGAGAGCCTCTAATTTGAGCTCAGTAACAACATACTTTGATCTACATTGACTCAAAAGTTTAAGTTGCTAAGTTACAGCCAAGTAAGTATTATCAATTGCTTCTTTGAGCTCTATATATTCAATGTGAGGCTCTTTCTTTATAAAGGGATGTATGGGCGTGTTCTCATCTCATATGATATCCTGCACAACTATGGTGTACGTGCTAGGTGAATGACGGACACATGCATCTAGCGAATCTAATAATTTCAAGAAATCTAATCCTCACTTTGATTTCCAATTGCAATTAAAAGTTTGCATGTTTCTTTCAATTAAGGTTTGTCAAATTGAAAGTCCACGGATAATGACATCAACTTCCGTTAGTCACATCACTGTGGAAAACCCCGCAAGACCCACAAGCACCAAGTCCAAGTCTTGAGGTCCATGTCCTCCACCATATCATTGACCACATGACAATATGAAGATTTTATGGGACCTGGTGTCAAGTAATGTTGATAATATTTCGTTACCTTTTTTTACGTACAAGCCGGATTACGAGCAACACGTGGAATCTAGTTTACATGTTTCTTTCAATTAAGGTCTGTGAAATTGAAAGTCCACAAATAATAACATCAACTTCCCTTAGTCATATCGCCGTGGAAAACCCGCAAGACCCGCAAGCACCAAGTCCAAGTCTTGAGGTCCATGTCCTCATTCTACTAGATCCTTAACCACATGAAAACATAAAGAGCATATAAGACTCGTTGTCAAGAGATATATGGCAATACTTCAACACACCTTAAGTGCAAGCCGGATTACGAGTATTGCGTGGAATTCAAAATTGTGACCACGGCACTAGAGGTACATTTGCAAAAGGATAGTACTTGTTTCGATACTATGTTAGAATGTCCAATCAAAAGTTTAAGCTGATATGTAGATGAAGACCACATGAATATAAATAACATATATGACCTATTATTAAGCATGTGTGACAATACTTCTCCACATATTAATCTAGTTGCATTTATTTATTTTTCGATAAGTAAATATATTGTATTAATGTCTATAATCCCAAACTGTTCTACAAACTTCCCAATTGAGCAAATAGTGTCCCAAAACCCAATACAAGACTAACAAAAATCAAGTCCTCAACTATCATACACCCTCGAATTATAACAAGATCTCAATTGTCCTGAAAATGTCCAAAAGTTCCAAACAGATCGGGCAACGCCAGAACAAACGGCAAGAACAAAAGCAAGAAAGCATATATTTGTAGGATGTATACCTAATTCTACCATTACCCAAAATAACCATCATGGATTTTTTAGTATAAACTCGTATTCTTTCTTCACTGTACATCTATGGGATATGCATGTTAGAATAATTAAATATTAAATCACGCATTCATATAATAGTTTAAGCTTTTAAACCAGTTGGTAGTGGTCCTACAAAAAAATAAAATAACGAGTCAATTGTCCCTTCATCAAAGCATGACATGGTCAACGAATTAAGGGCTGAATACGCGTCACCATGTATAAAAGAGACTACCAGATTTTCCATTTGATGGTTAAGTTAAAAACCATCTCTTTAGCACCAAAAAGAAAATGGAGAGAATCGGATTAACGAAGGAACTCGTTCGGTTTTAACAAAAAGAGAATGAATCTAGAAATATGGGAAGACTTTTTTCAAGAACGTATGGAGAGAGAAAATCAGTGTGATTATAATAAGTGAATTAATCCCTCGAAACACAAAAGCAAGTCACAAAAAAAATTTAAATCATTGTGGTGGATGAGAGAGCTTAAAGTCGGGCCAACTCAACACACGAAGAGTTTTGAAAAATTCTTGAGGCCCAAAATCATGGGGAGAGACTTTGTTATGCATATGAAAACACTGTTTGAGTGTCGATCATAACGCAGCAAAACACATACTTCTTTTGATTGGAGATTCTATAGGCGACAGTCCGCAGATAACTTAATTTCATTCGACTGGTAATGTTCATATTACTAGCCTTCCACATATTGTAGCCGAGAACTTTCGAATTCTAACAAGAAGCATCAAGCACTTCCAACCAAGTGCCCATTATGAAATCCCAAGCTTCTAGTATTCTGAAAGCGCTTCAATAGTTTGCATCAAGTACAAAAGATGGACATCAATCGTCTCACCCTACAAAGATCGGGAACACTTTGTTAAATCATCACTCAGAGCGTTTTTCACGTTGAGCTTCTCATTGTTTAGAAGGTGCCCTTGGCATTGGTGCATTAGACAAGAAGCTCTGAAACAAAGCATGTGTCTGAGAGCGGAGATACATTGGCACTTCATGTCATAAGCCCATTACAGCAACGAAAGTCAATCCTTTATATACCTCCATCCAACCTGCAAGCTGGGTAACCAAAGAGCCTAGTTTTAAAGCTTTTCTTAAGCTTGATTTGAATAGCGCTTACCATATCGTTATGGTTTTTTTTTTTGGTGTAAATGTAAGTAGTATGTATAAGATAACATACAGAAGTTTAGGGGCATTCCCTAGCATTACAAATAGAACTAAGATTCCAAAAAAATGGAGTGGGAGAGTCTCCATATAGTAGCCAAAGTTTCATCATATCGTTATGGTTCCAGGGTACCATTTATCCTCTACTTTCAACTTTAGTGCCGCAATGCTGCGTCGGGTTGTTGACGACGGAACAGCTGCATCTGTTGTCCCACTATTCAAGAGAAGACAATGATCCATGAAAGGCAACACTGGGCAGTGGGCACCGCTAAATGACGGTAAGAGAATAGACTCCTTGGTGATGAATTAGAAGAAATGCTCATTTCCGCATATGAATGTTTGTACGCCACTCCTACCAATTAACACCATCATAGGTATATCTCAAGCCTATCCAGCATGTTCTATGATACATTCTTGTTTCAGGTAACTTGATAAACCTCACCTATATATCCAGATCCGCAGGGGTGTACCTATGAGTTCTTTAAGGATAGGCAGGACCGATGATTCTTTGTCATTTTTGCTGTATCTGATTTTGACTTACGGTTCATTGCATAAGCCCAATCACAAGATGAATCTCCAGAAGTTTTGCATGCCCTTGGTTTGAACAAAGTTCTTGCCTCATGAACAAAACCTGCTGAGATTGTAGTTCAATGAAATATAGGAGGTGTGGATGTGGAAGGATTCTCGCACCTCTTTCCTTATCACGAACTTCACAGTGTCAGTCTCCATGCAGAATTCCTTCCCATTTCTACACATCAAATCCTGCTTGCAGAGAAAAAAACTATGGATAAATTTGAAGCTATTTCTATAGATTTCTTTCCTTGCCTGCATGGACATATTCACGCATTGCCTCACATATATGTTAAAGCCATTTATATCTCCCACTTCATTTAGGTTTGCTTCATCCCATGCCTTTTCGCAGCCTTCAGGATCTCAACAACAGAGCAAAAGTTCCCACATATTTTTTGTGCGTAGTGTCTGAAATCAGCCCGTGATTCCAAAAATACTCAAACATTCCTGGATCAAAACTTAGTTTAGCTCAGAAGCTAAAAGAATCTGCTTCGAATGGAGATTCCAGGTTGATCATCTCGCCAAGAATCCCTTCAGATTGATAATTGGTCGGGCGATACCATTGTTCTGATTCACTGTCATTCGAGCGAGTTGAGGAGCATAATGGCCTAAAACAAAGGTCAATATTGAACTTGTGACTGACATAAACTGCGCTGTATAAGTTGGTTCATTAAGAAAATCGTGACAAAACACACGTACCTGCACTGTTGCTGCACATCTCTCTCCGGCAAGATAAAAGTCTCTCGTACTAG